TTTTTATAATTTTTTTTTACAACTAATGTTAGTAGAATGGGGGCCGAATACTCGCGGTTTACTCGAGATTAATAAATACATTTATTTAGAGGAAAGGGGAGGGGCAAAGGGAAAGGGATATTGGTAAATTTTCTTTCTGCTTCATTCGACGGATGAGTGTCACTGCACTGTATTGGCGGGCATTTGCTGTGGATATCGAAGCATTGAAAGCACAGCTGAAATGAAACAAGAGGGGACTTGGGTTGGGATAGTGATGAAAGAATGAAAGAAATTCAGGATTGATACCAAATAGAAGCTATTTTACAAAGTATTCTACACGATTGAGACCTGTGCAGCAGTGAATGGTTTAGTTGGGGAATGATTCACTATGTGGCGCCAGAATACAAATAACAAGAAAGGTAAATGGAACATGTGATATGAAATTGAATTTTGTGTAAACAGTTTAAGGAATTAATAGAATTTTTCTTTAATGCTTTATTGTTGGTGTTTAATAACAAAAATCATGAATACAAGTTAATAACAAACATAGCATTTGCTGAGTCCGCTGATTGACAACCTTTGCATTTTTCCACTATTGTTGAGTGCTTTCTGTAAACAAACGGCTTGTGGTTGATGAGTTTTTGCTGTGCTTACATCTTCCCTTATCACGATCCGGCATGGATTGGAATTGCTCTGTGTCAACGTTTAGATAGTTGCGCAAAAATGAAATCACGTTGCAGGGCAGCGTTGGGATTTTGGATCATACCTAGAGGTGTTTCTTCATCAGTTCCAAAGCAAGATGTTTTAAGAAAATCTTGCGAGGCATACATTCTGCTTTGTAAGATTTCGTATAAATCATTTGCGCATTAATTCCAGCGACATTCATTAGTATGTAGAAAAAAGGATGAGGAGTTTTCTTTGACACACAGTAAGCAGCACACATTTTTTCAACGGTTTCAACTTCACCTTTTGTCTCATTGTAGTCAAGGATGACTGGCTTGCCGGTTGATTCTTCGACATCAGGTTGACCATGCATTACAGATAGCAGTATTTTTGGAACATATGATTAATTTTTGGAACATATGATACCAGCATGGCTTTTTTTTCTGAAATCCGACCTACTATGAACCTTTCGTGCCTTGCTGGCTAAGAACTCCACAGGTATTTCCCTACGATTTTTTTATAGTGACAAGACATGTAAGACCAGTGCTAAACAAATAAATTGACAAAGCGAGGCTCGTGTACCAATTATCCATTTTTATGTTCCTATGAGTATCCTTGATCGAAGAAACCAATAGCTTTACATCTGGGTGGGAGAATTAGTAGAATTAGTAAGATTTGGCATGGCATAATGCTTGAGCTTTAAGGCCATATTTTGCTGTTTTTTTCGGCATATACTGTATGAAGCTACATCGGCCCCTAAAAGGATGTAGCATTTCATCAATGGTCATCATACCCTCTGGAGTATAACTCGTCTTGCAATTCTTTTCGACGTTCCGATCAAGTTTCTGAGTCATCTAATCTCATATGACGTAGAAGAAATAAAAACCATTTATAGCGTAGCTGAAGATGCTAATTTCAAATAACAGACTGTAGTGGTAATTTTTATACGATAGATGGAGTAGATGAAAGCATAGAGTTGATAGTTCCGTTAGAGAACGGCAGTGTGAAGATTGTATATAGATATTAGAATAGCGAACTAGGACAACTTTTTAAGGAAGGTACAAATCGGTTTTTTCATCTCTCTTTACCAAACTCCCCCTTTGGAGAGGGATGGTGAGGGGTGTCCCCCCCCGCCACCACTGGCAAAAAGAGATGAAAACCGACCCGTTCAAGTACCAACTGTGTGTTTGAAACAGTTCTACCGATTTTTACCGCACTTCAATTGTTATTTGAAGGAAGGCATCCAGTCGTAGGTTTGGAAATTGCAACTATTGTTTACCCCTACCACGATATGTGCTCCTGTCATCGTCGACTTGACGATCTCGAGGGGACACGGGTGGGGTAGGTGAAATTAGCATCTTCAACTATGTAAATCGTTGACTTCACGTAGAAGTAATACTAAAAACATATAGTCAAAGTACATAACTCTGGATGGGAGCATACCATCAATTACTGTCAATGGTCGAAAGGTACAGTAGCAACACCTACCCCACCCGTGTCCCCTCGAGATCGTCAAGTCGACGATGACAGGAGCACATATCGTGGTAGGGGTAAACAATAGTTGCAATTTCCAAACCTACGACTGGATGCTTTCCTTCAAATAACAATTGAAGTGCGGTAAAAATCGGTAGAACTGTTTCAAACACACAGTTGGTACTTGAACGGATCGGTTTTCATCTCTTTTTGCCAGTGGTGGCGGGGGGGACACCCCTCACCATCCCTCTCCAAAGGGGGAGTTTGGTAGAGATGAAAAAACCGATTTGTACCTTCCTTAAAAAGTTGTCCTAGTTCGCTATTCTAATATCTATATACAATCTTCACACTGCCGTTCTCTAACGGAACTATCAACTCTATGCTTTCATCTACTCCATCTATCGTATAAAAATTACCACTACAGTCTGTTATTTGAAATTAGCATCTTCAACTATGTAAATCGTTGACTTCACGTAGAAGCAATACTAAAAACATATAGTCAAAGTGCATTTATAGCTTATTAGTGAACGCAGAATTGGTAGTCCTGTTAGATCTTTATCCCACAGTTCGATAATGTTCGTGTGAGCTTCCTTGATACCGAATAGGTACAGCATACCTAATAATGAATGAAAATAACATAAAAACAATTAATTTTTATCAAATACATTGCAGAATGTAATTTAAGACAGTTTTAGTACACTTAGCTATAGAGCAGTTATATAGCATTGAATATTTGTACAATTGCTTTCTAAAAACAAAGAAAAAAAAAACGAAGTGTGAACAACACATAAATTATCATTCCACTAGTCACCACCAGTCTGAGTATATGAGGAAAAAAATAACATTATAGAAACAAAGCTCTCGGGTCTCGTTCAATTGAACAACTTTGCTGACAACATAAATCTTCTATCTGGTCTGGATCTTGAGTTATCTCTGAAAGAAGTTTATTTGCACTCTGGCGCCATCTAGTGAGTCAATTTACAACTTTTCTGAAAACATTAAACTTCTGGTCTGGTCTTGATTATGAGATATCATGGTGCCACCTAATGAATCAATTCCCAACTAAACTAATCACTACTGAATGAGCTTCGTCCAATTGAACAACTTTGCAGAAGACACGAAGCATGTATCTGGTCTCCATGCTGAGATATCTATAGAAGAAGTTTATAGACTCTGACGCCACCTAGTGAGTCAGTTCCCAACCAATATAACGACTAAACGGGTCTCGTCCAAACTAGCTACTGCCACACGGGTATTGTCCGACTGTAAAATTATGCTGAAAACTGCATCTTTCTATCTGTTATAGTTCAAGAGCTATAACTGGAATTATTTGCCGTGTAATCAGTACACGACACGCCTGCTTACGAGACTTGTTTTGACGCGTCCGCTAAAAGGTTAATTCGACTAAAATGTGTTCCCGCCAAAAACAAGTTACAGCAGATTGATTTTTTTCACCATAACCTTGAATAATTGATCAACCAGCAGCCATAATTTTTGAGAAATTATGATGCACATCCTGAACAGTTATAGCTCATTGAACTTTTTGTCGGTGTTATATACTTTTGCCCATTACTGTACCTATGGGTCGAAAATTTTAACCGTTATGGGCGCGGCGGGGTATCCAGGTCCCATTTGAATAACACGGAAAAAAGCAAAACATTCCTTGCCCACATAACTTCTTCTTCTTCTTATTCTTCTTTGCATTTCAAGCTTATTGCTTGGGGCTGTTCATAAACTACGTAGACAGTTTAGGAGGGGGGGGGGGTTGACAATTATCTACGGCCCATTCAAATTTAAAAAAATGTATGGTCAATTGTCTACGCAGGGTGGGGGGCAAGAATCCTAAAAAAAAACATCTACGTAATTAATGAACAGCTCCTTATCGTATATTAGCTGCTGATTGCGTCCTTTCAACTTAGTGTGTTCTAGATACACTTCCACAGTTATTAATTGAGCGCTTTCGATGCCTGTGCCATTTTTGCATTAGTATGATTGTTTGGCAAGTTCAATCATATTCTATGCACAGAGAAGTCGAGAAATTTTTCAATCCGAAACATTCAAAGACCGGACCGGGAATCGAATCCTGCCACCTCTAGCATCGTCTTGCTTTGTAGCTGCGCCTTTACCGACTGAGCTAAGGGAGGTCCATGCACATAAGGGTTAAATAAATTTTATAATCCTCTCCCTGTATTGACAATCATTCAACAATTTAAAACTAGATGAATCGTGAATACCTACTAACTCAAATTTCTAAAAGCGACTTAAAGTAGCTTTATAGATTTAATGAATCCAATTCAGCTAGTGTCAGTAGATTTTCAGTTGATAATTATTAAACGACATCAGTTGAAATGAGTCGGGCACAAAGCAGTCCCCACTTACGGTATCCAATATTGTACGATTCCATTCCCAGACCCACGAGATGTGCTTTTTGCTTGATCATCCCCGCTTCTAATAGAGCAACTGCTCTCCTTAGTCATCATATTTCTAGATGATTTTTGAAAGCGAAGCAGGAAATCGAGGGCCACCCTAGTTGCTGTACGGCAAACGCTTTTTTTGCACTGTCAATATTTTAAATGCTCAGGTTCTAGGGAATGGCGTAGATCGCGTTTCAAGCAAACACACACGTCGATATGGTTGTTGTTATTGTTATTTGGGGTTTCAATAATTAATGATTGACGTAGCGGAGGTGTGTTATAGAAACAAAACTAAACGGTTCACTTTACAAGTCTTGTTCGTGGGTGTGAGCAAGTTTATGATAATCATAAACAAATCAATTGTACGTCATAAAACCCTTTGAGTGGCAGTGATTTCAAACTAAGCTTAAATCTGTATCATTTCTGAAAATCGTATTAAATGTTGTATTTTTTACTATCCTTCCATTTCAGTACGAAAACATCCTAGCAATACACGACGAAACGGGCTACAACTTGCTCCAAAAAAGCGTAGGATTAAACCACATAGAACTAGCCAGATGGTTGCTGCAGCGGCACCGTCCAGATGTAAATAGGAGCTCATGCTCGCTGCCACTTCACATTGCATGCCTAAAAGGGTAGGTTTGTCGATCATGTAGATTAGCTCTGATAAGGATTGCCTCATTCATAGTGATTTCCATAATGTATTTCTTCTATAGGTATGAGGAATGCGTTGAACTGCTACTAAAACATGGAGCCAGGATCGATACGGAAGCGAGGATGTGTTTTCCCGGTGCCCATTCGCACAACTGTGAAGAAAGTGGAAAATACAAAAGTAAGATACCTAACATTTATTCTAGTGCTTACAGAACTCAGCATAATAGCCTCTTAGGCCTGGAAACGAAGATCACTCCCATTTTTCCCACTATTCGTGTTTAAACAAAAATGTTCCGAATTTGATCAATCAAACCAAATTCCTGTTCCTCATGTATTAAGGATTTAGAGATGCTTCAAGCAGTGTTCAGAAAATCATTCTCAGATCTTATTCATTGAGCTCTCCTGAGGGAATATACTTACGTGTGAATCTGAAAAACTAATCTCACGCTTCAGATTCTCATGCATTTTCTAGTTCAACGCCAAAAAATCATTCCAGCTTAATACTCATAAAAATCGCACATACTTAATGAGCGTTGCTCATGTATGTTTTGTTAGTTTTCCATCGAATAAAATAAAAACAAGACTTATAACAATGAGCAACAATTGAATATTTAGCAATGAATGTTTGATGCGAAATTCTCATCGGTGGTTGTTGCGCAGTTGAATTTCGCAGGCTAGCACTCATAGGCGGTTAAACTAAAGTAAGAGATTTGGGTGTTTGAGTTTTTCGTAACACTGCTTCATTTTATGATTCTTATTCCATTTTTTAATTTAAATTTAAATCATACAACCATAAAGATTCGTGCAATGAATAACGATAAAGATTCGTGCAATGAAATAATAATTATTTCAAAACAAACTGTTCAACTTGTTGCACAACATCGAAACCAAAAGATGCCGTTCAATAACTCTTTTTACATGGATTTTCACGAGTAGGCTTTTTAATGACGTTATCATTTACTCGATTCCACGAAATTACCATGAAGTTAGTTTCACTTGTACTCAATTTCAACTACACAGCAAAAAAAAAGTAATATGCCTCAACCAACCAATGATGCTAACGTATCAAGAAACTAGATGTAATTGTGAGAAATATATGCAAATTAACACCAATTCATTGTAATATTATATCGTTCTTCGAATTACGGAGAAACAAAATTACTATTTTTCATTCCGTCACATGTGTGTAATATTCACATATAAATAACATAATTATTACATAGAAACATCTGCACATAGGTCATTCAACAAATAGTTGTGTCATATTACACTAATATTATGCGATATGACAGCTAATTACTACTCGATATTAAATCTCAAAACACTGCCAGGTTTTCGGTCTGATGCGGATCGAGCTGACGTTTGAGACGACGAACCGCCGTTGTTATTCCAGTGCTGGTTTTTCAACTGCCTGGAGACGTCCTAGTCTTATTTGGAGGTTCGCATACCGTTCAACCAACCCGAGCATTCCTTCTCCAAACGAAAATGTGATACACCTGCGCCGAGTTCTGAGTGTTCAGTACTGTGACTTCATCTTTATCAACCATTCTCATATATGAGAATAACCGTGGCCCAGTGAGATCGTACAAAGACAACGGCAGCAGCACACTCCAACAGTCAAGGATTGAATCCCAAATTAGACCCACTAAAAAAAGCATGTATAAGCTCCGCACTCTGGCTGCTTTTTGTTTATATATTTTCGATTCATTTTTAGAATCGCTGAAGTAGAAGTGGATAAAGAAGAATTGAATATCGTAGAACATTGAATTGTGATGCGTTATGTTATTGATGTCAACCACCCCTATTCTGCATTTCGTTCGAAACGGATTTCCCATACAAAAAAAAAAATGTATGCATGCAATTTTAGAACATGAGTGGTAATTGTTACATACTCACGGTATCCATGTAACGAATAAAATGAATAAAACATCCTGTCTTTTGAACATTTTCCTCGTCAATTTTTCCTTTGCGTCGAATCTCGGCGACTGAGTAAAATTGTATTACAATTTCATTTTTTCTCACGGAAATTTCACCCAGTTAAACTGCTGTTACTTATAGATCTGTAACGGCAATTTTACTAAAACTGAGTAAAATTTATGTGAGAGAGAAAGAGATTGCTATAAAATTTTGCTCAGCCAGTGAGTAACATTGAACGGCCGTGTACATCGTTTTGCCATTACATCCAATTGTGTACATCGCTTCGTGTACGTCTAATTTATTACATCGGGCAAATTACGTCGGTTTTGTGTATTTTACCAAAGACCTTCGAGTACATCGCTCATCGTAATATTAAACAACCGACGGATTAACCTATGTGCAGCTGTTTTGATGTAATATTCAACAACATTTTTTTGCTGTGTACACACATCAACCATCTACTTTTTTTTTATAGAGTTCATTTATTTGGAAGGCTCAATCGCGTTAGCTTTACGGAGCCGATAATTCATTGTTCATTGTTTGTTTGTAACAAAATTCACTTAATTCTATGTCTAGTAGAAGTTGGGCCGAATACTCGTGGCCTACTCGAGGTTAGAAGGGTACATTGTCGAAGGATAGGATCAGGGGATGAGCTTAGGGGTGGGTTTTGGTTGTCTCATCAGAGCGTTGTTGTCAGTATGAATGGTAGTTCGGTTCTAGATTCGTCTGGAGTTCGACCGGCTATGGTTTTAGCGTGACATAATTAATGCATGGGCCCTAAACAGCCATGTCAATCATGAATCGACAGCATTGGTACTTTGAGGAAGTTTCGATGGCTTAGGGTTGACGTCAGTTAATAATCCCTTACTTACAAATTCATTCCCTTTCCCTTCCATAACGTTTTTTTTAGTTCTTCACCTACTTTAGAAAGTTGGTGAACTGCCCATAATAGCATATCTGCTCTACCTTTGCTTGATTTTCTATCCACATTAGACAGCTATGCGATTATGGGTACTGAAGGGAATCCGTACTTTCTTCATATATGAATGGGGAATCCACAATCGCATAACAGTCTCATATGGATAGACAATCAAGTAAAGATATGGGGGAGATATGCTAGTATGGGCAGCTCACCCACTTCAGATATTGGACTAAACAATTTAATATTTCTTCCCTTGCTCTGAAACTGTAATCACGAGGTGTATACCTAATGCCAGTGACTACCCTGTTTTGCACAATAATCATTTGGCATAATGAACGTTTGGCATAAAACAATGGAAACGTTAAAATTTTAATGCGGTTTAATAACGCCAGCGTTGAAACATAATAAAATAGGAAGTATCGGACATTTAGTTAGGTATTAAATTAAAAATAAGAAATTTTCGTTTCATTGGTTGCGTGAAATAGGAGGAGCAGTGAGAAAGCGCCAATAATTACTGCAAACATAAAACTCGCAAGAACAGCTCATGTTTGAAAGAAGCGAAAATCTCTATTAAATGTACGCCATTGAGGCAGGAGCGCAAGTGGCACCAGTATTATTTAAGTTCTGTTTGCATCTGAGCAATTCCATACGAATTCGCAAATCGGTCTATTTTTGTATTTTTTGTTTAGGTTGAAATTTTGCAGAAACGTTCCTTATGACCGACAATGCCATTTTGCATCTTCATATCACTATTTTGAATCCAGCCTTATTTTTGAAAAGGGCATATAGAAAAATATCAAGCTTATCTTCAGAAAAATTTTACTCGAAAACTGTTTGTCCGATCGGTTTAGTGTCTCGGGCAATATTGCAGACAATGGATGGGACTATTTGAAAAAAAAAATATGCACCCTAAAAAAATATCCAACTTTTTTTTTTTTAATTTCAAATAGAATCTTAAAAACAATTTTTCTTAAAAAAGGATTTTTTGTATTTTTTTTTATTTGTTGGTATGTTTTAGAGGATAAAAAATGCCATCTATTGCACTATAGGTCAATATGGAAAAATGATGGACAAACAAGTTATGATTTAAAAGAAAACTCAAGTTTTTGGAAAAATATTCAAAACTTGGTCCAATTACTTTTTCGACTTTATATAATGAAAGTACACCACATTTACAATAAAAAAGCACCTAGGTAAAACTTTGTTATGCCAAATTACGATTTTTTGTTATGCCAAATAACGATTATGCTAAGTTATGTTATGCCAAACTGATTTATTCCAAACGGTGTTCCCCGAGGCTGGTTTTTTATTCGTACAAGCGCACATTCTGTGCAATTGCCAACGTATGTAAGAATTCTTTTTCAAATTTCTCAGGAATAATTCCAAACATTCTCCAAATACGTATCATTTTCACATTTTATCCCCTCTTCCTTGTCGAATGCCGGAGGCCGCCAATGCTTAGTTTGAATCCCATCTTCCAGATCAAGGAGACGACGTAGGCGTCTGCGAGCGGCCTAATACCAAGCTGCAGAATGCAGTCTGCTACGCCATCGACGGGGACCAGATCAATGTGCTGAACATCCTGGCCCAGAAAATGGAGGAACCGTGGATGCCCTTCCGGGTGCGGAAACCATTGCTGCACATCGCTTGCGAGCGTGGTGCCTGGAAGTGTGTCCAGCATCTGGTCCAAACCCGTTCGGACGAGATCAACCTCATCAAGGATGAGTACTATCCCATCCATCAGGCTGTGCTACACGATGGACGCTTCCTGGAGCTGCTAATCCAGCATGGTGCCATTACGACGGTGCGCACGTGCACCCAGCAGATGACGCTGCTGCATGTCGGTATGTATTGTTAATGTTTTCAACTAGGTTCAAATAGTAGTAATGGTAATTTTTCCGCGCAGTTATCCTAGCGGCGAGGAAATCCGCCGAAGATACCCTCAACACTATCCGAATACTGCTGGAACGTGGCTGTAAAGAGCTAATCAATAGTCCAGACTCGCTCGGCAATACTCCACTGCATGCGATCATCGTCCGGTATGCGCTAGAGGAGGCAAGGTAAATTATAGCATCCGTTATGTGTCTCTTGAAACTTGGAAACGTTCCAATTTCCTCCCTAGGTATGGCTACGACAAGTGGAACAAGTGGGACGTGCTGCATCTGGTGCGTTTCCTGCTGCAGAACGGTGCTAAAAGCTCAATCAACCAGGCCGGCAACAGTGCGCTGGCCTGCGTCTTTCGCCATATTAGAGACTGGGAAGTGTGCTACGAGCTGCTGAATATGTTGATAAAGGAAGGAGGTAAGTGATGCTGGACATTGTCCATCAGGACAATACATCTGACCGTGTTTGTTTTTACAGGGGATCCAAACATTGTGGGACGAGATGGATCGGTTCCGATTATGGTCTGCCTAGTGCCCTTGATCAACAAAGATCCACTACACCACTTTACTCATTCGATGAAGGTAATTTTTTCTGCACATTGCATGTTTATGCCCAATCATTTGTTATAGTTTGTTGCATTTTCTGCAGGATCTGAAATTGAAATCTAAATTAAGGATCTTTTTTCTTAGCCCAGAGATATTGAAGTTTTGAAATCTGAGATCCCGGAGAAAGTCCCTCTAAGCCTATTTTTTTTTAAAGTACGGGATCTCGAAGATTTCTCCAACTGCCAATTTCAGAATCTTGAATATTGTTTATAAGTGCGAGATTGTGCCTTGAATGCGTTATTTTCATTTGCAAAATTTCTGGAACGATTCCTAAGTTCACTCTTTCACTTTCGCTCATTCGGCTGTTGACTTATTCGTCTTCCACATGCGATGTCCGGCCTATGCATTGGCTTGTATTTCTTTAAGTGCCTAACGACAAAGTATGAAACGAACAAAGAAGGTGTTACTATTCATCATACATGTCAACCGCAATTCTTTTTTTTTTAAGAAGCGCCAGGTCGTGGTTGTACATCGCTTATTACATTTCTACCGGTTCTTTGTAACGACATATACCTATTGTTCTCTGTTGTTTTAAACTGCTTTACACAGTAATGATCCGATTTTGTCAGTTCTTCCGCACGTCAGACTTTTATATCTCAATAATTTCACATAACCGTAATTTCTAATCTTTCTTATTCATCGTCAAGTTGGATGTTCATGGTATAATTTGGCAATAAGAACACATAAGTTTCGTAGAAAACCAGAAAAAAAAAAATCAAAAAGAGGGCTAACCAAATTGGTTCATTATTGTATTTAGAATTTCTTAAAAAGACATTTCCAATTCTCCCACATGTAATAGGCTTAGTAATCCATGCCTCCCTTACTTTCACCTCCATTTCGCTTTAAGGCTTGGTTGTAAAATCGATTTACGTTCTCCTCCAGTGCATTACAATTACAAACGCAAACCATTTCAGCTGGAGCATTACTGATACCACTTTTTGTCTCCTCCTACTCGTTCTCCCGCCAGGTGTGCTATCTGAACTGCATTCGAATACTGTTGCAGAATGGTGCCAACCCGAACTGCTCGTACCGCTCGAATCTCACGCCACTGCACGTGTTGATTTTTACCGTGTCGGAAAATTTTACCCTCAACTGTGATACGCAGAAGCGCGCCAATTTTGATTTTATCAAAAATATTCTGATATTGCTGCTGCAGTATGGACTGGACTGCAACATCACGTCCCAGCACATCCTGCAGTCGGTGATCGATATGATCGTGAACGTGCGTACCTGTCCGGATATCCTGTGCGTGTACGAGCTGCTGCTGGTGCTGATCCAGTATGGAACCGACCCGAACATCACCCTGAGCAATAAGCTGATGATGAGTGGCAGCAGTAGTTCGTCGATGAACTATGTAAATGATTTCATAAATTTCGGTGGAATGCGAGCCGTTGGAGGAGGTGACGTTGCAGGACCAAGTGGGAGTGTAACTGCCGGCCCGTCGACTGCCAACGTTGCCGGACCAGCCAGCAATGGCAACGGAAGCGACAATCTACGTAGCTCGTTCCGAAACAATGCACGCAACTATCTACTGTTCTATTACATTATGCTCATCACGCGAAAGGAGTTCATCCTGCTCGATCGCGAGCAAACCTACCAACGTATTATCTATCTATTTTACTACTCGATGAAGCACGATACGCTATTCAACTGCCTCAAATCGCTGCACAATCTGTTTATAGCGCAGGTCCCGAACAAATCTATTGACAACCTGAGGCATCTGATAATCACCCTCTACAAGAAGCCTCGCAGTTTGAAACAACTCTGTCGCGTTTGTATATACAATAGCCTAAACAAGAAGCTGGCACCGAGCATAAACAGGCTCAACCTACCACTTCCACTAAAGGAGTACGTACTGAACTTTGAAGGGTAGACAAAACGGGTCGATGCACTATACAGCAGCTCCGTAATACACCCCCCCCCCTCCCATAATCTCTCTCTCTATGAATATAAATGTCCGCGTTTTTCAGTGTTAGATATTGTGTAAATAAGAAATAAATCAATCTTATCAATGCGAGGTTAAATAAAAAAAAAAAAAAACAAACAAACAAACAATCACTACCAGATGCTGAAACAGGATAACATAGCAAGGTCTCTTATAATAACAACTCAAATGAAGCAAACGTTAACTGATTACAGGTGAAATAGGAAAAAAAGAAACTGTTGCTAGGATATTTTGCCCCACACTTTTTGCTCCTTTTCTTCTCACAATCTCTCCTTTTCCGCATCACGAAAATAATAAAAAGGATACGAGGAAACTATTCGCTTTATCGCAACAGTCAAGTAAGCACACGTGTTTACGCAACACCTTACCGTGTTTTAAAATATTACAATAAAATGAAAGTTAAGATTAAGAAGTCGTTTTTTTTTGTTTCGATGACAATACGTAACTTGGATTCATTTTTAAGATTTTTGACCAGTTTCACGATCCTACTTAACTAAACTGTGTTGAATTCGGCTCAATTTTGCCAAAAGTGGATCAACGATCCTCGTAGGGTGAAAGGTACATTGAATCATTCTAAGCAAGGTAGCAAAGAGCTCCCCAAACGGCTTGATATGGACGGACATCATACTACTTCACCGAATTCCAAGATCGATCGCACTATACGATCAGACCGACACAAAATTGAGCTGAATCCGATTAAATTTTGCCAAAAGTGTGGATCTGCTCACAAAGTAAGTAAAATTGTCTTCACTTCTCCGGGAAAAACTGCTCCAATATGAGGAAAATCGACGGAAGTTTAACTCAGTCAAGGAGTATACTGCCGCCGCTCTTTGCAAACTTTTTTAGAGTTGTCGAGTTCATCCAGTATTCTAAAAATTTGGCTAGTTAGCTAGCATTTGCATTGAAAAACTCAGTTTTGACAAATACGACTATGGGACCGGCATGCGAAGAGCGGCAAAATACTAAAGACTGAGTGAAACTATCTCGATTTTCCTCATATTGGAGCAGTTTTTTACTCACTTTGTGAGCAGATCCACACATTTGGCAAAATTGAATCGGATTCAACTCAATTTTGAGTCGGTCTGATAATCCGTGTATTGCGATCGATCTTGGATTTCGGTGTAGTTGTATGGTGTCCGTCCATATCAAGCAGTTTGGAAAGCTCTTTGCTACCTTGCTTAGAATGATCCAATGCGCCTTTCACCCTACGAGGATCGTTGTCAACTCCTGTGTCTTGAAACTCTTGAACGTACGCGATTGTAGTGCTTGTAGCAAATGTGTTAATAAGCGAAATTGACTCTGCCGGGATTTTGACTGAATTCGGAATCTGTGCGCCTGAACTAGTTCTTCGATCGACGAGTATCTTGCATCTCGGACCCCATGCTGCTAATTGCTGCTTACATGATCCAATACGGTTCACGTCGGCATGTTTCAATGAATTCTATCCATTTTCAACTTCAAATGCACAGCGGAAACCTTTCGTCACCGGGTTCAACGCAGTCAAGATGATAGCATGATTCGACACATGCAGCTGCTTTCAATCGGCGAATTCTAGCAAGACGGTAAGTAGCTGTCCGTTTAACGTACATCGGAAGAATTTTACTACCTGATTATTTTTTTCAACATTACGTTCAATCGATGACCACTTCGCCTTGATTGTTCCAAGGAATTTTTTAAAAATCGTTCGAGGACATGTTTTCCATGTAGAAAATGATTATTGGGACTAATTAAGTTGCATATAAAAAATTGAGCTTTTTTCGTTGACATTTAGAGGTGCCGTAAGGGGTTGTAACGGTTCTGTTACAAATGTTCAATACAACGTTTTAAATTTGCAAGCAATCAAAATGGCTTCCAACAGCAACACCGTATATGTCTGGATTCCCAGCCACTGCAATATCAGTGGAAACGAGGCTGCGGACAAGCTGGCAGCGATCGGCAGATCGAAAACCCCAGTGGAACCGGAAGTCCCTGCAGCGGATTTAAAAATCTGGATCAAAACGATCATCGCTTCGGCATGGGACAAGGAATGGGCTAATACCCGAGACCCTTTCTTACGCAAAATAAAAGGAGATTCGAAATGCTGGTCCGACACCAAAAACTGGAAGGACCAGAGAGTACTGTCCAGATTACGCTGCGGCTACACCAGATTCTCACACGATCTCGGATCCCGTGATGGATTCCACAAGCAATGTATGGGGTGCTCAACCGAAATGTCAGTTGAGCATCTCATAATAAATTGCCCTGCACATCAAAACCTCCGAGACCAATACGGTATCGGTCTCAGCATCAGAGACGCACTATCCAATGACCCAGACAGGGAAAGATCACTTCTCGACTTCCTTAAAGACACAGGCTATTATCAATATACGTAGAACCCCGCAACATACAATGACACGACAACGGACGAACGACGGCACTTGGACAACACCAGCTCTCTAAATGACATGTCAAACGGAAGAACAACGATGACAACCCCGCAGGCTACGGACATTGACCCTCTCTCTCGGAAATTAACCACAACTTCGTTCACCTTCCTTACTGTTAAAACAATCGACACAGAACTCTGAGATACTTAAACTCTGTAACAAACACTATGTAATTTATTTATTTTCTCTATCCGGGACCCCCTCAGGAGCCCCAATCCTTCAAAGAGACGAACCAGCTACAGGCTGAAAGTATCTATAATAAAGCAAAAAAAAAATAAACCGGTGCCGGTGGTGTAGTGGTAAGCGTGACTGCTTTCTCACCCCAATGGGTCTGGGTTCAATCCCAGCCAAGGTCGGTGGGATTCTTCTGAGGTATAAAAATCTCTGGTCACGTCTTCCTTCGGAAGGGAAATAAAGCCGTTGGTCCCGGCCCATGTGTGTTTAAATGGGTGCGATATCCTACGCAGGTGTGGAAGCTACCTTCCTGCACATTTGATTACCGTCAATGGATGGCAATCGATGTCCGTCGGTGATTGGCGCTAGATTGCGGAACAGAAACCGACGTAAAATAAAGGAAAGAAGAAAGAAGAAGAAGAAGAAGAAACATTTTAAATTTGCATTTTAAATGTGATCGAGCATTCCAAGTAAATCTGTATAAAATTTGCGGTGAAACCCACTGGCCACGGCAAAATGGTGACACGGAGTCACGGGTGACGAACTGAAGGGTTCTGCGATGCTTAAGGATCGGCCATCGTTCACTTTATATGGTATGTGGAGTATAATTTTAACAGAATACATTGAAGTATCAAGGTGAAGTGTAAATCACCAATTTCGCCGATTCAGGACCATTTCTTTCAATAAAATCGCTATCTCGTTGATGAGTTAAGGAATGCAATTGCACGTTAGGGTATAGGTGGCGTTTTAGTTGCCTTGACCTAAACGTAAAGAACTATCGTTCTTCTGGTTTCGGGTCATCATCACCAAGGAGGACATCGTTCTAGGGCTGCATGCTCTAAAAGTAAAGGAGAATTTCCCTATCCGGTTCGACAGAGGGCGGCCTTGCCGTCATCTGCCATCGTCAGAAGGAAGCGCCTGTGCATCGGAACCATCTCCACAAACCGCTATTCCAGCTTATAACCACCCCGGTAAAACCAATCCACCATCGCACTACAGCCGACGTACGGTAGACGCACTAGTCCGACCGCCATTCTAGCTCTAGTCAGTGGTACCGCCATCTTTCCGACAAGGTCAGTCTTGTATCATCCGCCATTGCCGGAATTGTTCCGGAATCTCAGCAAGCGCTCGCTGGACTACAGTCTGTTTAAAAAAAAATCGCACAAAGCGCGTTAGGCCCTCCCCAGAAATCAGGCACGTGGTGATCATTTGAAACTCTAATAGCTTTTCGGGGTTAACTCGGATGCACATTCGGTCTTCAGCCAAGATGTTGCCAATACTCCAAATCTTCTACATTTTGTACACGAAGAAAATCGACCAACTACAGCGCCACCTAGACCCCGAATGTGAAAGTGGTTCGTGCCCCCATACATTTTGTCTAACGGGTGTTCAATAAAAAAATAGATTTTTTTCAGTCATATAGCTAGTAAAAAGTTGGAAGGGTTGTATACTAGATACGACCGCAGGGTTGGCGTTGGATAACGTCTGTTATGTGTTGTACTTAATTGTGTATATTATATTTTAGGAATATTCCTTAATAAATCTTTTGCGAAAGTTTGGTGGCCCTGAAAAGGGCCGTTTTGTTGGGCTGATGTTGTTGACAATGATGGAACGGGCGACCTTGTTGGACGCTTATATAGTAGAACAGAAAATATCAGAGGTGTCAGATACTCGCATCTGATGTCTCGGTTGGAGAAAGTATAAGAATATAAAAAAAATCAATCGATTTTCACCATCTTTTGACAATGGTTTACTTTTAACCATTTTTCAATAGTTTACAGACTGAAATCAATAGTTTTGAAACATTCAGCAAATTGCTAGAAATATTTCCAATCGATTGATGCCATTATCTCGTAAATCTATCGAGAGACGGTTGAGTTATTATCGTTCAAAATCTTTTAATTTTTTGTAACGCATCCAAAATGACTGTTTTCAATTTTGTACCCCCGTATGTTGCCGAAAGACGTTATCCAACGTCAAAAAAAAATTGTTTTTCAACGAATTCAGTATTTTTTATTAAAAACATAATGTTTATTCTTCAAAAAAATGTCAATGAATATTGGAGAAGGGGCACTGGTCAGCCGTACGACGCAACTTAGTCACGATGCTCTCACAAGAGCGCTGGACGGCACTGCAATTATTCTTATTTTTTATTGAACACCCGTCAATTCTAAACTGGACTAATAAGCGCTTTTTCGCTTATTAACAAGTGTGATAAAAGTGCCAGTTTCCGTCCAATTGTCTTGGTCTCTTCGGTCCACTTGTTGTTTATGATGCAAGTAATAAGTGCTCCAAACACACCAAAACGATTTGACTGAAACGTCTACTTTTATCACACTTTTTGATTTTTTTGGGGCAGTCCAGTTTCAGATGCTATCAGCAATATTAATTCACGAATTTTCACCTTTAAACCACTGTACAATGTCACCCTGTTTTACGGTACCGTAAAGCACGGTATCTTAGATTATGCGAATAACTTGGATAGTAGAAAATAATGATGAAATTTACTCCCTGCACTTTTCCGAATTGAAAACATTAGTTCCATATTGCAGCTTAGGGTATTTCCTTTGATATAGTATAGAGTTCAATGTTATCTTCTTGTTTCTTGTGATGTT